CCCATTACTTTATTTTCATGCCTTTTAAATAACACAGATGAGTCAATCAAATCACTGATCTAACTAATTAAAGGCAAAAATATCTTGTGATAAATGAATATTTTGGAATTCATATTGGTACTCACCTAGCAGCAGGGAAAGCACCAGGCATATTTCATAATAAACCAATAGCCTTACTTTACATAAAGTTCATCTGAAAAAGTCATTCACCTAGTTATTGGAAAGAATGTCTCTGGAGGCCATATGTAATTTCCCACTTTCCCAGGCTTTTCTTGCCCCCTGCAGACTCCTTGATCTTTCTGGCCTGACATCTGACTTTCCCCCCACTGATAATGTGCATCAGATACAGTCAATGTAAAAGCTGCACAAAGAATCAAAACCATGAGTTCAGAGTCACAGCACTCTTGGACCAAAAATAATCACCAGTTCCATCATCTACTTTATACTTCTTATTTGCTTGTAAATAACTCTCAAACTTAAAAATCACTTCTACGCCCAAAGGATCGAGGTTTGTAAGACAATTTTAAAAATCAATGCAAAATTATTCCTTTTGGAAATAAATTGAATATTGGGCTTCTCTAAAGATTTGAATGACTTTGCTATTTACAATGTGTAACAAGCAATTTATCACTTAATTACATGCTGCCTTGCATTATTGTCAAATTTCTTCACTTAACATAATCCTATCTTCCTGGAAAGATTGCAAATTCTTTCAAGGCTGAACAACTGGTCTTACACTTTTCTGTTTTGCTGTGTGACAATCAGAAGAGTGGTAGGCACAAAATAGTGTTAAGTGTATATTTATTGGATGATTAAAACTAATATATTGATTTTACACTATGTTAATATAGTTATACATGGTCAAGAGCTTCTATTAAAAAAATAAGCAAAAAAAAAAAAAGAATGAAAGTAGTTTAGAACCTCTTCTGAACACTGTGAAAAATAAATAGCCAGGCAATCCACTGTAAAGATAGTGTAATAATTTGAATTGCCAAAATTTAAAAATATGGTCCAAACAGCAATCTGCACTGATACAGTGACAGAACTCTTACTGTAAGGTAAGACAATCAATACTTGGATCTATTAAGAAGGTTCTGCTTTTTCCATTAATTGTAAAGAAATTTAATTTTTTAAGCTTGTTATGTAAACTAAACAAAGATGCAAAGAAAATTCACCATAGAAAGAAAATAGCCTTTGTGGGCCCACCCTTTTCTCAGATTGGGAGCTATCACCAAATTACAATAATTAGGCTTGCACTGTGCTACGTTACGACTAGGAATCAGTGTCTGCACTTAACAGTACATTTTTGGATAAGCGGTTTCTTTCTGCAAACATCTAACCCATGTCTGTTTTTATATACTCGATATACTAATATTGTTTTCTCTGCAGGATCCATTTAATTAAAATAGAATCAAACATTTCTGCTGAACACTTGCCTAAGAGGTAAGAGGTTCTTTTAAAGCACTGTTCCAAAAATGCTATGGGACAGCAAGTTTTGTTGGTCTGATGAACAACAATGAGGGAAACGAATAGGGAAAAGTGACAAGAGGTGAGGTCAGAGAGACAATGGGACCAAAGTGAATAGGGCCTTGAAGGGCACTAGAAGAACTCTGACTTTGACTCCTGAGTATGTTGAAAGCCACTGGCAAGTTTTGTGCAGAGGAGTTACCTTCTGGCTGCTGTGAAGGGAGTTAAAATAGAGTGAAAGGCTGGGATCAAGAAGGAAGAATGGCAGGGACCGCTGATTGCCACTTAATGTTCATCTGTCCTTTCATTCTTTAGTAATAGGACCTGATATTTTGGGGGCAGCAGTGTGCCCAGCTGAAATCTTTATTTTCTAGCCCCTTCTTACAACTGGACGTAGTCCTGGGATTATGTTCTGGCCAAAAAACTAAGAGGATGATTCATTGCACTTTTTGAACACTGCTTTAAAAGAACCCACTCCATTTGGAGGGAGAGTTTTTTTTCTTTTTCTCTTTTCTGCTTCCTCCTGTTGCCAGCCTGGAATATAAACATAACGGCTGGTACTCCAATGGCCATCTTGAATCATAAATTTGCCTTTAAAATGAAGCCGCATGCTGAGGATGGTGAAAGCTCTGATGGGTCCCTGATGAGGGCATGGAGATGCCTCACCAACTCTACACTGCCTGTTTCTGGATTTGTTTCACATGAGAGGGAAATACACTTCTATTTTTGTTTAAGCCATTCAGTTCAGTTCAGGTGCTCAGCCGTGTCTGACTCCTTGTGACCCCATGGACTGCTGCATGTCAGGCTTCCCTGTCCATCACCAACTCCTGAAGCTTGCTCAAATTCATGTTCAATGAGTCGGTGATGCCATCCAACCATCTCATCCTCTGTCATCCCCTTCTCCTCCTGCCTTCAATCTTTCCCAGCATCAGGGTCTTTTCCAATGAGTGAGCTCTTCAAATCAAGTGGCCAAAACTTCAGCATCAGTCCTGAATGCTGAATATTCAGGACTGATTTCCTTGAGGATTGACTGGTTTGATCTCCATGCAGCCCAAGGGACTCTCAAGGGTCTTCTCCAACACCACAGTTCGAAAGCATCAATTCTTTGGCATTCAGCTTTCTTTATAGTCCAACTCTCACATCCATATATGACTACTGGAAAAACCATAGCTTTGACTATATGGACCTTTATTGATAAACTAATGTCTCTGCTATTATGCCATTGCTACTTGGGGTTTTTAGTTATAGAAAGCTCAACTTAAACATAAGGCTTCCCAGGTGGCTCAGTGGTAAAGAACCCGCCTGCCGATAAAGGAGACATGGGTTCAATCTCTGGGTCGAGAAGATCCCCCAAAGAAGGAAATGGCAACCCACTCCAGTATTCTTGCCTGAGAAATACATAGACAGAGGCGCCTGGTGGGTTACAGTCCGTGAGGTCGCAAAAGAGTCGGACGTGACTTAGCGACTAAACAACAACAACTAACTTAAACATAACTGATATAGGAGTCCACTGCATTAAATCAGGTGAGAGAAGATGATGACTTGGACCAGAGTGGTGGCAAGCAAGTCAGATGCTGGATATTTTTTTGAAAGTAGGGCCTATAGGAATTGCAGATCGGTTCTATGGTTTTTTCCAGTAATCATGTATGAATGTGAGAATGGGATCATAAGGAAGGCTGAGCACCAAAGAATTGATGCTTTCAAACTGTGTGCTAGAGAAGACTCTTGAGAATCCTTTGGACAGCAAGGGGATCAAACCAGTCAATCCTAAGGGAAATCAATTTTGAATATTCATGGCAAAGACTGGTATTGAAGCTGAAGCTCCAATACTTTGGCCACCTGATGTGAAAAGCCAACTCGTTGGAAAAAATCCTGATTCTGGGAAGGACTGATGGCAAGAGAAGGGGGTGACAGAGGATGAGATGGTTGGATGGCATCACAGACTCAACGGATATGAGTTTGAGCAAACTCTGGGAGATAGTGAAGGACAGGGAAGCCTGGAGTGCTGCAGTCCAAGGGGTCGCAAAGAGTCGGACATAACTGAGCGACTGAACGACAACAAATAATTTGCAGAGATGCAGAAGCCTGGGGAGACAGCATGCTTGGGTGTGGGGTTGGGATTGGGTGGATTCAAGAATCTAGGGCAGTGACAGGCTGGCCTTGCTAGAAGCAGAGAGGGGCACAGTAAAACAGAAGGAAGGGTATGGACTTAGATTGGTGGGACAAGGATCAAACCCAGGTCTCCCCCACTGAGGGCAGATTCTTTACCATCTGAGATATCAGGGAAGCCCCATCATTAACTGAACAGTTATTAACTGGGAACCTATTCTGGGCTGTTCAGTGTGCTGATTGAAGTAATTCACATTAATGGACAATGACTGATTGGCTTAATTCGCTCAGGGGCATTCACATTTCTAGAATGTGCATATTAATCCCAATAAATCTCTGATTCATGGAATAAATGTGAGACAAACCATTAATACTCTTTTGTGGTATTCTGTGACAGAACACAGAGACTTCCTCTTTCTTCCTATCCATGAGAAACTGGGCCGGGAAGACATAAAACTGGGAAGTAGACTATGTGTGTGAAACCACTCCCCTCATCCACCATTGTCTCCTGTTTATGATCCATGTGTCTTCCTCACCATCCAAATAGGGAACCAAGATACTCACGTCTGGAGGATGGTTATACCATATTATTCTTAAATTGTAAACTCTTGATCTCAGGATCCTATTCCCTGATTTTCCATAGAAATTTCCTCAGATATCCAACTTATAAAAGTTTTCAAGAAAACAGCCTTAGAATCATAGAGGTCCCTGCCCTGCGCCCCCCATTCTTTCTTTAATCGGTGGTCAGTCACCGAAATGTACAGAGAGTATGGGACCAGAGAGGAGAAGGATAAGAAACCGGAAGTTTTCTTTTCCATTTTCCAAGGTGGTCTGGGCTAAATGTGTTATATCCTATCCCCCAGTCACTGGGCAAATTATTAGGAAAAACACCCTGGCATGGAGATAGTAAATCGCAGTGGCTATTTCCCTGGGCTTGAGTGTCAGACAGATTTGAGTGCCACTCCCAGTCTGACTCCTGGTAGCTCCGTGACCTAGGGCCAGTCACTGAAGCCTCAGGTGGCACGGCTTCTACATCTAGCAGTCAATCTTTTTTACCTAATGTGTGGCTGATGAAAGCAGTTCTTTCCAAGCATCACACCTCTGCGCTCCCCGCCCCCCATCCCCAGCGGATGTGTATTTGTTGCAGCTTTTCAGCGGGGAAGATGCTTTTTCATGTCCTGAAACCTCCCTTGGAAAACATGGGAAACTCTGAGTTGCTCAGTCGTGCCCGATTCCTTGTGACTGCCATGGACTGTGGCCCGCCAGGTTCCTCTGTCCTTGGGCATGGCCTGCCAGGCTCCTCTGTCCTTGGGATTCTCCAGGCAAGAATACTGGAGTGGGTTGCCATGACCTGCTCCAGGGGATCTTCCTGACCCAGGGATCGAACTTGGGCTTCCTGCATTGCAGGCAGATTTTTTTCTTACCGTCTGAGCCACCAGAGAAGCCCATGGGAAGACCTGGGAGGCAGCGATCAAATAGGTCAGGGCTCTTTGCCTGAACATCTGCCAGAGGAACCGCTTGAGTCCGCTCTGGAACACTCCCCACCCGCCTTGCCTCTCTGGTCCCTCGGTCGTAGAGGAGAAGCTGCAGCGTGAAGGCGAGACTGCTTCTTCTGTTTCCCTTCCTGGAGCTGGGGCGACGAGCCTGGCCCTGTGGGCAGGTTTAATGATCATATCCACCACTTGTTCTTTAACCATCTCAGCAGAGTCTTGAACCCATCTCCAAGTACCTTTCATCGGCCTTTAGTAAGCAGCTTGGGATACAGAGGGAGAGTCAAGTTTCTTAAATCAGAAAAAAGACGAGGACCAACCCCCCCTCCCCCCAACACAAACGTACCGTGCTAAGAGAAGTCGTGCCTCTTCCTGCCAGAGGGAAGTCAGCGGGGGCCCCCATGAGGTCGCTGGTGGCGCAAGAACCGAGGCCAGATTGGAGAGAAAGGAGGAAGGGGGGGCGGGAAACACACACACCCAGAAACTTTCTTCCTCGTTGCGAATAATCGCCGCCCCCCCTCCAGGGAGAGGCAGTAACGTGACACCCGAGAGAAACCCGCAGACCCGAGCGGAGGGAGGGAGGGAGGGAGGGAAAGAGGGAGGAGAGAGCGCGGCGGAGAGCCGGAGGGAGAAAGGGGAGGAGAAGGAGGAAAACCCCTGTCAAGGAGGTGGAGCGAGGGGATGGTGTCCGCCTCCGGTTCCTCCCCGCAGTTTTTGTAGAGGAGCCTGAGCCGGGACAAAACACGCCGAGACCGACAGCCACAAAGCCGGGGGCGGGGGGGGGTCCACGCTGGCGCTGGAGGCGAGCCCCGGCGGCCGCGAGCGAGCCCGAGGCGCTGCGGGGCGCGGGACGCGGGGGCGCTAGCGGGCCGGGAGCGGGCAGCGCCGCCGAGCCGGGGACGGGCACCTCGGCCGCTCGGGCCGCGGCGGCGGGGACCATGCCGAGGAAAGTCTCCTGAGCCCGGCAACTTCGGCCCCCTCCCCGCCCCCCACCCGGGCTGCCCTCGGCGCGGCCCTGCCCATGTGCAGCCGGCCGGCCGGGCTCTCCTCCTCGGATGGGCAGGCGGATGGGTGACCTCTTCCTGGCACGGGCAGGCTGTGCGCGGCGGCGGAGCCGGCGATGAAGAAGAAGCAGCAGCAGCCGCAGCATCCCGGCGGCGGCGCGGATCCCTGGCCCCATGGGGCCCCTCTGGGGGGCGCCCCTCCGGGCCTGGGCAGCTGGAAGCGCCGGGTCTCCCTGCTGCCCTTCGTGCGCTTCTCCCTCCGGGACTACGGTTTCTGCATGGCCACCCTGTTGGTCTTCTGCCTGGGCTCTCTCTTCTATCAGCTCGGCGGGGGACCCCCGCGCTTCCTGCTCGACCTGCGGCAGTATTTGGGTAAGGAAGGAAGGCGGGAGCGAGGGCGGCGCGAAGTTGTGCCGGGGCGGGGTGGAGGGGGGAGCCGGGCGCGCCGGGCACTTTGGCGCTGCCCCCGCCGCCGCCTCGTCGAGGCTCCCCAGGTGGGACGCCCGCGAGCATCCGTGCGGCGGCCCTGAGCGCCTGCTGCCTCCAGCGCGTCCGTCTGTCTGTCTGCGCAGAGGCGGGGGGCGGGGGTCGCGCCGCGGGGTTAACTAGTCCTGCAGGTACCCCGGGGCGGGGCGCCGCATACCTCCCCCACCTCCCCCGCCCCCGGCCTCGGCCACACCGTCTGGGGTGGAATGCTGGCGTGTGAGTTAGTGAGTGTGTGTGTGTGTGTGTGTGCGCAATCAGGCCTGGCAGAGCGGGGAGAGGTGAGGGGCAGCGACGGCCCGTGCATGGCATTGTTAGTGGCCACTGTCCCGTCCCGTCCAGCGCTCCGCGTCGGGGCGGGGGGTGGGATTAGTTCCTCCCCGGGGACCGTTCTGCGAATTCTGTCCCGCAAGATTTCCTCCTGTCCCTTGGCCTGGGTGGCCCAAGGGCAGTTTGCGGGCTCCCACGCTGTCCGTGAGCTGGTTTGTGCTTGGGGCATCCCCTTCCCACCTAGCTGTCCGTAGCAGGGATCGACCTGCTTCGATTGAACGATCTATAGCGCTGCGTGTCTCAGTCTGAACTTTTGGGGGAGGTTGTGCCTGGTTTAATAGGAGCAAGGCTGCCTATGTTTTTGAAGAGGTGAGGGGAAGGAGCTTGCGAAAAGAGCGGCTCCAGAGAGAGGATGTGACCTAAGGATCGGTGGTCAGTGCGCGGGGAGAGGGGATGCCAGGGCCCAGCGAGCGTACCCCAGGTCCCCGGTGCGCGCTTGACTAAGGGAGGATGCTCCTCTCTCACAAGTCGTGGCTAGAGCATGACGGGGGTGGGTGGGGATGGAAGAGGAGAGGCTGAGCGGGGCCCAGGTCGTCGCAAACGTCCAAGGGGATAAACTAAAGCCCCCGGGGAACTTCCGGCATCTGCTTGACCCGAGCCAGCTCGCGAAGAGAAGCCCCCGGAGCGCTGGAACCCTGAGCCAAACGACTCCGGCGGCTGGAGGCTGCCAGCCTCACCCACAAAAATCCCTTCATCGCCGAAGCCACAGGTCTAGATAGCAGATCGTTTTCGAAGAAAGAAAACCACTTCAGCAAAGTGACAGATGTGTTAGAGCGTTTTGAAATGTACATGCAGATAAAACAAGGTTTTGTTTTCCCGCGTAGAGAAGCTCAGGTTTTTAAAAGTTACACTTCTCTTTGGGTAGAAACTTTGGGGAACTACGGTTTTTTTAAGATGCTTTAGAGAAAATTAGAGGAAAACATTGCCCAAGTGAATTTCCAAAGAATAATCCTCAGCATCTGGTTTCCTAGGGGATTTGGGGTAATATGTACTTTTGCTAAAGAGTCAACTCTTTTCTTTGGGAGTTCTGTGTTTGGAAGTCTCACAGCCCCACTGGCTCTCAGATTCCTGCTACTATGACACAGGTTGCTATTATTGCCAACAGCCGCTGCTATAATAACTGGCATAGGGAGGGAAGTGATTGAGAAGCTTAGGGGTCTTTCTGCATGAACTCTGATAAGGAATTCTTTGTTGAGGTTCTTTTCAAGCAAAATACAGAGGCCAGTGATGTAGGGAAAGCACAGTGGAGAGTGAAGGAAGACACCTGTGATGTCCTTTGGAGCACCTGGCTTTGGGCAGGGCATTTTCCATAGGTAAAATTCTGGCCTGGACCAGACTGCCTGTAACACAACCGCCCAGCTCTTAAAATGTCCTCTGATAACCTTCTTGGGGCAGGGAAATCTGGGAGGAGGAAGGATCAAAGGCATGTAGTGAGGCTAAAATCAACCGCAGTATCTAGCCTGTTAACTGCTTGAAAATTCAGTCAGATACCTGCGGTATCCAGAATTTTATGCGCTTTCATTATATACTCCAGGAAATGAAGCCTGATAAATTTGGGGGCTCTGTTGGTGAAAGGGTGAATTCACAAGCATTCACTCAGGGAACAAGAAAGAACTGAAAGATGGAATATTGCTCCCACTACTAACTCATCGCTGAATTTCTGACTGATGTAATGGGTTGAAAATGACGTCCTTGTGAGCTGAAAATAAGATAACCCTTGGCCAAATTTGTTCCCTGTTGTTTTGTTATGTAAACATAATGATTTTCAGGAAAAGTGGGCTTGCGGTCTTTAAGAGGGTCTAAAATATACCCTTAATAATATAAGGCCAAGGTATCTGCAGAATTATGCTCCCCTTGTTTCCTCCATTCTACTATTTTAGTGTCTGTGAAAACAAAATTGTGGTTAGTAAACACATCCTCTCAATTTTCCTAGGTAGCCAATTTTGGAGGCAAGTATTTTTCTTAAATATAAGTTCATATAAAGTCAAAATTTTCCAGATAAAAATATTATTTTTAGCAATATTTTTCTTGACAGAGTATTATTTTTAATAAACTTCTATAATATATTACATCTGACACATAATAGCTACTAAATAAACATCTGTGGAAGTGACACTTGTACCTATTGTATCAAATAGGTAGTGTGATATGTAACATACTGAACACTGAATATTCTCACAGGGAAGAAATAGGACCATTTATGATAAAAGCTAACATTTACTGTGTATGTGCCAGTCAATGCACATGCAGGAAGAAATTGTATTAGCACAGAAATATCGTAGATGAGGTACAGGTGTTATCCCTATTTTTGATATGGGAGAAGGGAGGGCAAAGAAGTTCACTGACTTGTTGAAGGACACAGAGTAAGTCAGGCACGACTTGAACCCACGTCTGGTTGAATCAAGTGCCCACTGCATTAATACTGCAAGCAGTTTAAGAGAAAAAGGAAATAGAGCCAAGATGTGAGTGGGGTACTAAAGAACCGACTGGTCAAAAAATGATCATTTTTATTTCTATAATTTCATTTTCCTTTTCTTGATACTTTGAGTATCTTGAGGGGCCAGCAGAGAAGGGAAACCATGCAAGCAGCAGGCCTGCTCTTAACTCCATCTTCCTGTTCTTCATCTCCAAGATGCCACCTCCATGAACTAGGCGACTGAACTCTCCCAGAGTCCCACAATTGGAGGTGAGGTGAATTGGAATCTTAAATTTTTAATTTCTCTCTTTCTTTAGCATTCATTCTCTGTTTAAGCTATGTGTGCATGCTCAGGTGCTCAGCTGTGTCCAGCTCTTTGAGGCGCCATGGACTGTTACCCACCAGGCTCCTCTGTCCATGGAATTTTCCATGCAGGAATACTGCAGTGGGCTGCCATTTCCCACTTCAGTGGATCTTCCCGACCTCTCTTGCATCTCCTGCATTGGCAGGCGGATTCTTTACCATTGTGCCACCTGAGAAGCCCCTGTCTAGGACAGTAGTTCTCGGTGTGTGGTCCCTGGACCTACAGCATCGGCATCACCTGGTCACTTGTTACAAGTACAGATTCTCAGGTCTCATCTCAGACCTACTGAATGAAGCAGTCTGGGCGTGGGACCCCAGAGTCTGTTTTAGTAAGGCTTCCAGGTAATTCCGATGCCAGTCTCAGTTCGTGAACATTGTTCTAGAGTCAAACATTGCTTTTGGGAAGTTCCCTATGTATTTGAGAGAAGGAGAAGTGATGAGAGTGAGAGAAGTGATTTATAAAATATTTTAAAAGCGATGGACATGGTTTCATTTTTAAGCTTCAACTTTTAAAAATGCCTCTACTTTGCTGCATGTGCCCCATTGTTTCAAGAGGAAGAGCAGCCAACAGTTGCAGCCCCAGCTGGCTTTTGACTGTCTGAGGTTAGGAGATGCATGGAATGAGGTGAAGGGGGGCAAGCAGAAAGCATAGTGTGGAGGAAAAAAGGGGAGTCGGTAAAGATGCTTCTTCTTCTCAAAGGAACTGGGGTCAAACAGCTTCCTTTTTCCTAGGCAGTTTGGGGAAGGGCAAAGTCTGTTCTTTTTAAAGATGCTTTTTGCTGCAGCAGATTTATAAATAAAAAGGAAAATGTGTGAGGGGGAGGAAATTTATGCAGAGAGAACTCTTGTCTTGCTTCTTTACCTCCTTGAAATGGGTGGAGGAAGGAGAGCATAAACACACAGTGGGGGCAGTAGACATGAATAGATCAAATTGCTATACTTAAACTTGGAGACCATGGTCTGTGCAGTTCATTGAAATTATTTCATTTATTTTGAAGTGGCATTCAGACTTTGACTTGCTATAGAAAACTATCCAAAATCAAATGAAATCTCCCATAGAAATTAGATTATGATGCAGCCTCTGCCAGTAGACTCATTACTTATGAGCTGTGGAAATATCAAAAACTTGGAATAACACTTGTTACATAGATATAAACTGAATAAGCCAGATGGCTTACTACTGATCCCGTACAACCGGCAAATTCTGATGATTTATTGTCAAGACTTGGATATGTGATTTAGCCTTTATGGGAACTAAATCTGTTGGATTGATCTCAAGTTGATAGGCTTTCCTTTCCTTTTTTAACTTACACTATTTTAAATGGAGATATACTACTCTAGTTTTCAGAATTGCCAGTCTTGATATGTAGATTACATATGAGCGTGGCAATTTTGAGTCAAGAATGAAAGAAAAAGATGTAACTTTATTGACTTGAAAGTATCTAAGTTTAAATGAATTTAAAGGAAAATGTGAAAATTGAGGTCCAGACTTGTTGCAAAATAGTTTCTCTAAACCTTAAAAGTCAAATTGTTTCCTTTTGCACATCATATATAGTTTAAATATAATACCCCAGCCCCCAGACAGTAATCTAGGAAGTGAATGCATAAAATATGATGTTATCAATAGAAACTGTTGACATAAAAAGAAAATAACATTCTTGTTCATAGCTGCAAGTTTATCTTATGGGGTTGGTTGGGGACACAGTAGCACTGTTTTAGAGTAAGATAGAAAATGGAATTCAGCTATGGCAGACTGTTCTGTAAACACACAGCATGAATA